GTTCCCTTTAGTTCCTGTATACATCCTCATTTAGGTCCTATATTAGTCCATGTGGACGTACAATAGATGTCCCCAATACATCCTTCTTAGGTCCTATATAAGTCCGTATTAAGTTCTGTATATGTACTATGTACGTCCCCATGAACATCCCTGGGACGTCCAGGGGACGTACTTTTTGGTAACATTTAGGTCTTATTGGACGTCCCGGGGACGTCCAAATTATGTAAACGGATGTCCGTGGGATGTCCGGACATTTAATGAGGTACATCCTTTGGACGTCCATGGGACGTACTTGTGCTGTTTGGGTACGGTGTTGGGGACATATAATTGCTTGTAGAAAAACTAGGACGAATAAGAGAATTTAAATACTTGGTTCCTACATAACAGAAAAAAAGACACTAGATCAATAAATTGCCCACAGGATAGAGGTTGGTTGGTTTAACAGGAAATGAATGAGTGGGGTACTTTGTGATCGAAAAATCGAGAAGCCTGTAAGGAAGATTCAGGAAAAAAAGGTAGAGGCATTTGAAATTAAAATGTTCATCATGTTGGATAAGACTAGAAGGGACAGGATCAGGAACGACTTGATTAGGGAAAGAATCGGGATGACTAAAGTCTCAAAAAATATTTAAGAATAAAGACTAAAATGATTAGGTCATGCCAGACATAGAGATGAAAACTGTGTGGGACGAAGGATAGAGCTGTTACAAGTTTATGGAAATAGAGGTATAGGAAAACCGAGAAGAAGATGGGAGAACTCTGTGGCAAAAGATCTGAGAAAGAAAGGTTTAGGTGAAGAAGACCCGATGGACAGAAATGAGCAGCGACGAAGAGTGAGGAACAGCGACTCCTGAAAAGGGAACAGCTGAGGAAGAAGAAGGATAGGGGTTGTAAAGTCTTGCTTTAGTCTTCGTGCCTTTTCAAGGCATGGAGTTTTTTTGTATGTTTGAGGCGATTTTCTGTTAATGACTTAAGATCGGCGTAAGTGTCGAGGCAGGGGTTTCACGGCGCTTATTGAGTCCATGTTAGGTGGGCAACTGTGTCGTGGACTAGTTGAGGTGGCCGGTTGATAAAAATACCAGATGCATCCAAAAACGGAACGATTCCTTTTAGAATTGTTTTAACTTTCTTTAGTAAATCGCGTCGAGGTTAGCTGTGGCTAGTTCCTCACCTAGGTACAGGTATCGTTGTGCAATGACCACAGAAAACCAATCTCCCCCTGTCCTTGTGTAAATTGAATCGACTCTGAAGGAGTTATTTGAGGGAACTCACTTTGTCTATTTTTGAGATATAAGGGTTGTTGGTCGAGTATGTCGTTTTGTCGATAGTTGTGTCTTTTAGGACCTAGAGCTTAGGTAGGATATGACGGGATTAATATCGGGTATGTATAAATTTTTGATTTATAGAATGGTTGTACGTCGATGTTAAGTTTGAGTGTCCGTTAATATTTTGGAAGATCTCGTTACAGAGATGTTGGTTAGGGTTTTTTTTTAGATAAGAAGTTGAAAAATATCAAAGATATGAGGTTAGTTATCGACTTCATGTCTGAAGTGAGTTCGTATGAGGGAATTTGTCTGTGTCTATGTCTGTTTCTGTGTTGTGGTAGCGCGTTTTCTGGCGGGGCATTTGTGTGAATATGCCGGGTGTTTGCCGCGGCAGATTAGACAGAATGGCGCGAAACTTTGTTGTGAAAGATTAATAACAACTTTGTTGTTATTACAATCTCTTTAACAGATTAATAACAACGCAGGGGAATGACGTTATTCGATCCAGGAATCTCACAATGTATATTCTCCTCGTTCATCTTAATACCATACTCACACTTCATCACTTCCGAGAACTTTATTCTGAGTTCGCAAAAACTCGAACGAAGTGTGTAGAGATGTTATTTAAGCGGATAATTATTTTAACCATTTTAGTGTGAGAGAAGTTTTGCTGTTTGCCTGTCATTTTGTTTATTGTTTTAGAAGACTTTTGTGGGGTGTTATTGAAATATCTGGAGCCAATGGTGGTTATGTTATCACTGATCCTGTTTCTTAGTTTTGTCTGGAATTAGTGGATATTTAGGAGTTGGAATGTGTTGTTTTGTCTGATGAATAGACTTTTAAGTGGAGTATGTTGTTGGGGAGAAGTTCGTTTAATTTTAAAATATTGTTGAGGGATGGGTGTTTGATGGGATGTATGTATAAGATATTTGTATGGGTTGTGTTGTCTTGTGTACTTGTGTGTGATGACTGTAGGGGATGGTTCGTATCGATCGAGTTGATTTTTGTAAGGTTGAGGGTGAAGGTTCTGTAGGTATTATTTGTCACAGTTCATGTTGTGTGTAATTGTAATGTTATCGTCTTTCATATGAGATATGAGTATTTGTTAGGGATGATATTTTGCTAACATTACGAATAATCGTTTTCTTTTGGTGTGACCTCTCATGACTCACGACAATGGTGTGACGACTTATAAAGAAGCTTCGTGATATATATGATTGACAAGATCTCCTAGAAAAAAAATCTGGCAATGGTATTTGGCTGATGTGGCAGACAAAGTGTTAAGTAGTTCAAGTTTGGCGAACTACTAATTTGGATTCATTAACTTTTGTAAAAGTTAATATTGTTGCCTCTTAGGTTGTTATATTTTCATGAATTTTATTACTCCGTACCCACCTACATTTTGAAGCTCCCTCTGTTTGTTTCAATCAAAAGAAACAAATTTACTTATTATCGGAAAACTCATCAAATCTGACAGCAAACTGTGTATCAGATTATGAAAATTAACACAAGTAATACTGCTACTAATGCATGAAAACCTTATATCATAATTGCATAACAATACTTTCTGTCGAACAAGAGAACACACTAACAATGCAACAAAAGACTTGAAAACCCAATCCTCCAATCTTATAGCCCAGTCTGGTTAAAAAAAGGTCGAAAATTTTTTCGTAGATATCTGAAGCTTTTAAGATATAGGTGGTGGTTACTAGACGGCGAATAGATGAAAAAGTACTCGTATTTTTACCTTGCGTTTTTTTTAACAATAATTTATGGACACAATTTGATTTTTTGTCTAAGTTTTTTCCGTTATATTTTAAATAAACGATATTTATATCATTTTTTTATATCAAGAATATCTTTATTTTCCCGTTTTTTAAATTAAAATTGATAAATAATTTACGGAGATATTTGCAAGAAAAAAAACAGTTTTTTAATTTTTTTTTTAATTTCCCTCCGATCGGTCAAATAGCTTGAAAGTTATTTAATTTATGTATTCCTGAGACTAAATATTTAAACTATTGAACTTGATCTATTAATGATACATTTAGCAAATTTGATAGGATTCTTTAAGACTTAAACTATCTCAGAAGTTAAATGCATATTGCGTTTTCATCGAAATTATTTACAAAATAAATGTTTGAAAAGGGGGTATGTTTTTTACTTATAAACAATTGTAATAACTTCTATATTTTTCAAGCTACAGACTTGTACGTACAACCATTGGATAGCTGGTAAAAAAAACTCACATTAAAAAAACCTATGCCCAATAGGAACGAAGTTAGGGACTATTTTGACGAAATTTTGGAATGTGGCAGCTGCTACTCATCCCGCCTTTTTTACGCATACTAAGATATATTACTGGTTTTCTATTATATAGATCAGGGGTCATCAATTATATTCCCTGAGGGTCCGTTTCGAAAACTTACGACACTTCCGCGGTCTGGACACTCAGCACTAAACCAGGCAGTGGCGTAACCATACGCCACTGCCTACTTTAGTGCTTGGGCGGGGGTTACGCAGAAACCCTCCAGTAGTTGTAACCGTCCCCCATCTAGGAAGGGGTACATTAGTTTAATTAAATTCAAAATTAATGATTGAAATAACTCTAAAAATAAAGTAAACCTTCTTCTGTAAAACTCCTTACAAAATTAAACTATTAAAAAAATGACACTTTTTATTTTGTACAACCTGTATAAAATTTAGAGTGGGGGAACTGATTCTTATTAGGGAGTCGAGATATTCAACTGTCAACCGAGATCTGTACCGATTTTTAATAAAGTTCATTTTTGAAAAACGGCTTCGAACACTTAAGTTGAGCCAAACATAGTACACAGTTTTATTGCCAAAGGTTTTAGTTCTGGATATTTTTTGTCACACACATATTTATTTTAAAATTTGTCCCAGGCAAGCGTTTCCGTAGCTTGAGTATAAACCTCCTTTAACGCGGAATCTTCCTGATACTCGATCATTTCCACCTGAAGGGCAGCTTTGTTACTCTTAAAAACGTTTGCTGTTTCGCTGGTTTATACACCATTAGGCTTGAGTGAAAAACTGTTGCTTAACAGTTGCACAACTTTTTGTGTTGATAGTTTCCTTATTGTAGTTTGTAAAATATTGTTTTTAGGTAGGTACTACCTAAAATTTTGGAAAACCGTGTAGTCGAAACATATTTATATTACGAGTATTTCTATAGAGTATTAGTACTGTGCATTTTAAATATGTAAAGATATTTATATATTTAGATTTGATTATAATTTTACACTATTAATTTTATTGCTTTATTTTGAATTTAACGGCGGTCCGCAAAAAACAAGCCCACGGTTCTGATGCGGACCGCGGTCCGCCATTTGATGACCCCTGATATAGATGACCTTTCTCCTATTCACATGAATACACATAAAATGTAGGAACACGAGGACAGTATACTATGTGATCTTTGGAGATATTTAGATCTAAAAACATAAATAAATGTGTTTACCGTCCTCGTACTGTACATATACCTATACTGTATATATTGTGTACTGTACTATATCTACACATATAGACAAAAATATCAAACTGTGACCATACATTATTGTTTAAAAAAACGCAAGGTAAAAATACGAATACTTTTTCATCTATTCGTTATCTAGTAACCCCCTCCCCCTGTATCTTAAAAGCTTCAGATGAATCGATGATTTTTGCATAACCAGACTGGGCTATTAGTTCTTAATTTAGTTAGACGAACAATAATTGGTCTTGCATCACAATTTATTAAAAAACAATATTATTCCAAAACACGTACATCATCATTTGTATATGTAATAATGATTTTGATAAAAAATAAAAAGTCCTCCATAGTTAGTTTTAATCAACATCTTCGGGTCTCACAGGATGTGTCAGTGGTATAACAGATTTTTGGTTTACATCTCTAGAACAAGCTTTCCTCATATCTAAAAAATAAACAGTCAATAAGTATTTTATGTAAAGTATTATTAATATATTAAATTTTTAATAGTATATCTTTGGCAGTCGTAGCTCAGTGGCTATTTTACTGGCGTAACAAGCTGGCGGATTCAAATTAAATTCGGGACAGTGAAAAATTTCTAATGTAACTGATCTGCCACAGCGAGAATGCATGACTTACGATGGACAACTTTTACTCCAGGCCGAATACTGAGAAATCAAATATATTACATTCTGATTAATAAAAGATTCCGGAACAGCATAACATCAGTCAAGACATACCCAGGAGCTGATCAAGTCAGACCATAAGCCACTGATTGGCAAAATTAGGCTCAGGCTAAAGGTAAGACGTAGTGTCAATCCAAAATTCGACATCAAGCTATTAAAAGACCAACACACAGAACATAGTGTAAAGCGGTATATCAGAACACTTTGAATACCGTTATTCAATCGGATGTGATGGACCAGGAGTTAGAAAAGTTACATACAGTTTCAAAAGACATACGAGAGAAATTTCTCAAACCACCAAAAATAAAGAAGAAATCGTGGATGACAAATTAGATTCTAGATATGGTGGAAGAGAGGCGAAAGTTCAAAGATCAAGACATGTCATTATACAAAAGAATCGATAAAAAGATCAAAAAAGCTATTAAAATAGCTAAGGATACACATCTAAGAAAACAGTGTGCGGAAATACAGCAATTGCAACATAAACACGATTCATTTAATATGCACAAAAAAGTTAAACAAGCCGCAGGCTTATACAAACCTAGAAGAGTTGGGTGTTTGGCAGATAACCAAGGCAAACCACTGTTAACTGTGGAAGAAAAACTAGACACTTGAAAGAATTATGTGGAAGTAACTTTTGCAGATGAAAGGCAGAATACCATTGAAGACACTGAATGCCAAACAGGACCCCCGATTACCATCGAAGAAGTCACGTCAGCTATTAAAAGAACTAAAGATGGTAAAGCGGTAGGGCCTGACGAGTTTTGTGCAGAACTCCTAAAACTTATGGATGAACAGGGAATAAAATGGATAACAACTGTATTTAACAACATATACGTAACTGGAAAAATACCCCAAAGCTGGTTAAAGTCGACCTTCGTGACCATGCCAAAAAAAGCAAATGCCAAGACATGCGAAGACTACAGAACAATTAGCCTAATGAGCCACTTACTTAAAACGTTCTTGAAAGTGATACAAGCCGAATATATAAAAAATGCGAAGAACAAGTATCATGGACGCAGTTTGGATTCCGCGATTCCTTAGGCACCCGAGAGGCTCTATTCGCTATCCAAGTGCTTATACAAAGATGCAAGGATGTTAACTGCGATGTGTATATTTGTTTTATCGACTACAAAAAGGCATTTGATAGAGTAAAACATGATAAACTTATAAACATCTTGAAAGAAGTGTGGTCAGATGGTAGGGACTTGAGAATCATCTATAATTTATATTACAACCAAACAGCCAATATTAAAGTGGATGACCAATTGACAGAGGCAGTTTCCATAGATAGAGGAGTGAGGCAAGGATGCATTCTGTCCCTGGTGTTATTTAATATATACTCTGAATATATCTTCGAGCAAACGCTAGGAGAACTACAAGAAGGCGTATTAGTCAACAGAATGCGTCTAAACAACATTAGATATGCCGACGACGCAGTAGTTTTTACAGATAGTCTGGACGGTTTGCAAAGAATAATGTCGCATATATCAGATATAAGTAGAGAACACGGACTTGATCTTAATACGAAGAAAACAAAGTACATGGTAGTCAGTAAGCGCGAAATATTAAATACACAGCTTTTGGTTAACCAACATCCAATTGACAGAGTGGACAGCTACACATACCTTGGTACCAACATTAACAGCCAATGGGATCACTCCAGTGAAATAAAACAACGCATAGAAAAAGCGAGATCAGCGTTCATAATGATGAAGTCTTTTTTCAGAAATCACGATTTACGACTTGCTACCAAAACCTTTCTCATTAGATGCTATTTATTTTCTACGTTATTATACGGAGTAGAGGCCTGGACACTTTCCGCAACTTCTTTAAGAAAACTCGAGGCATTTGAGATGTGGTGTTACAGACGTATTTTAAGAATTTCATGGGTGGATCGTGTGACTAATGTTGAGGTCCTACGTAAAATAGGCAAGAAATGCGAGATTATTAACACCATCAAAGAGCGCAAACTAGAATATCTTGGCCATGTTATGAGGAATGAACAGAGATACGGCTTGTTGCAACTCATTCTTCAGGGCAAGGTATTTGGAAACAGAGGACCAGGGAGAAGAAGAATATCTTGGCTTCAAAACCTGAGAAAGTGGTTTAATACATCGACAACCGGACAATTCAGAATAGCAGCAAGCAAAGTTAGGATAACCATGTTGATCGCCAACATCCGGAACGGATAGGCACCGTAAGAAGAAGACGATGGACGAGCAAAAGTACACATTGGAGGCCAAGAGAAGACAAACGTAGTGGAGGAAAACCACCTACACGTTGGCCTGACGACATCAGACGTATCACGAAAAATTGGCAACAAAGTGCACAAAATCGTAAAGTATGGGTGGGTTTAAGGGAGGCCTATGTCCAGCAGTGTCGGTGTCGGTCTTAGCTTTTGTGGAGGAGGAGCTTTGAACTGAGTAGAGGCTCTTCTGTACTTCACGGAAGACAGACTGGGCGGGGGATGTCCTCAACCTCGACACGGCGCGTCCCATATGGCTGATAGGGAAAGTTCCTGCAGATATGCAGGACAGGTACGAATAAGGCATTGCCAAATAAGTACCCGCGGATCAACTGAGGATATGACATTAGGCAGCAGTAATGTCATTACTGGATTAAGGCTATAGGAAGTAAAGATCCTGTAGGCTTAATTTCAGATACTCACAGGCGTCACTCACATTATGAGTTAAGCGACTGTGATACTGCGACATGGCATAGGGCAGCAGCTATGTCATTACTGAATCAAGGCCGCAGTGGAATGATTTCTGCTGTTGGCTTGATAACAGACACTCACGGGCGGACATCACATATTGATTCAACCGGCCGTAACACTGCGATCAGGCAGGCAAGGGGAAACCACCTGATTATTCTCCCGAGAGTACACTCTAAATAAATCAATGAGTAGCGCAACACAAAAAGTAGAGATGCCATGCGATCCGGTTAGCGACCGGCGCTGTCCTGATTCCGGGTCAGACAGTGTGAAATGGGCTACCGGGCACGAGTGTGCGAGCAACCAGGCCACTCGTGGTAAATGGGCGACTGGAAGAAATAACCAAACACAGAAGTTTCAAGGCAGAAAATCGATGAATATAGGGACATGGAACGTCAGAGGTCTTCTCCAAACTGGAAAACTTTACCTAGTAGAGAAAGAGATAATAAGACAAAATATAGACATATGTGGTCTAGCAGAGACACACTGGAAAGATCAAGGACATTTTAAAACACAAAACCACACTATCTACATATCAGGATCTCAAAATACAGGGCATAATGGAGTAGCCATACTTATAAACAATAGAATATCTAAATATGTCAGACAATATGAAACAATAAACGACAGACTCATAAAAATTACAATAGAAGCAAAACCAGAAAATTTCCATGTCATTCAAATATATATGCCCACAACAGATGCCCCAGATGAAGACATTAATGAAATATACAACAACATAGAAAACTTACTGAAGAAGATACCACAAAAAGAGCCAGTATATATTATTGGAGACTTTAACGCCAAAGTGGGGAAAAACGGATAATGAACCACATTTAAGAGGTATTGTTGGGTCATTTGGCTTGGGCATTAGAAACAACAGAGGAGAACGTCTTCTACAGTTTGTCAGTGAAAATAATTTAGTGATAACAAATACCCTTTATAAACACCACCCAAGAAGGCTCTCAACATGGACTAGTCCAAATAAAGAAACACAAAAATCAAATCGATTACATACTCGTGCGGAAAAGATGGAAAACCTCAATAACAAATGTAAAAGCTATGCCTGGAGCATATTGTGGATCAGATCATAAACTACTAAAAATGAAACTGCAGGCTCAGACTACACACAATTAGAAAAATACATCAGACAAAACAGATAAGGGTAAGTAATGCAGAAGAATTCCAGATGAAACTGATAAGCAAAGAAAAACCACAAGTATTAGAAGACACAAATAAAACGTGGAATGGAATAAAAAGCTGGATATATTCAGTGGAAAAAGAGTGCACATCGCGTAAAACCCAAAAGAACAAACATTGGATGTCAGGGGAAGCACTAGAGTTAGTGGAAAAAAGAAGAGCTATGCTACAACATATCTCAAAAACAGGAAGCAACACTCAAGAAATAGCGGAGATAAACAGGAAAATAAAACGTATGTGCATCAGAGATAAAAACAACCATATAAATAACGTGTGTCAAGAACTGGAGCAACATGCAAACCGCCATGAAAGTCATGAACTATTTAAAAAAGTTAAATATTTAGCCCGAGAGTTCAAGCCACAACTTCAAGCCATTCAAGACTCTAATGGAGAAGTAAAAACCGACATAGAGAGCATCGCAGAGACCTGGAAAAATTACTGCTCAGAATTATACAAAGACACTTCAAAAGATGACGCATCAGTCTCAGAACACAAAAAACATGCAATCAGAGAGGCTGAACCAATCATTTTACGAGCAGAAGTAGAGAAGGCTCTTAACCAACTAAGAAACAAAAAAGCTCCAGGAATCGATGGCATAACAGCGGAGACTCTAAAAGCAATAGGCGAAATTGGCGTAGATGTAATGCTGGATATGTGCAACATGATATGGATCACAGGTGAATGGCCTGATGAGTGGTGTGAATCAACCTTGATCCCTATCCATAAAAAAGGATCACTAACCATATGCAGCAATTACAGAACTGTTGCCCTTATCCCTCATGCAAGCAAAATCCTGCTACATATAATCAATGAACGGCTAAAGAACTTTCTACTTCCAGAGATAGCCGAAGAACAATGTGGATTTGTACCAGGAAAGGGAACGCGTGAGCAAATACTCAACACCAGACAGATAGTAGAAAAAGCGAGAGAACATAACATACCAATGTTGCTCTGTTTTGTAGATTACACGAAGGCTTTTGATTCAGTAAAATGGGATCCTCTCTGGAGCATAATGGAAAATATGGGAGTACCTAACCACCTAGTTAACCTAATAAGAAATCTGTATAATAAAAAACTCAGCCAAAGTTAAAGTACATGGAATATATTCAAATACATTCAAAACAGAGAAGGGAACTAGACAAGGTTGCATAGTATCACCATTACTGTACAACATATATTCTGAATATATAATGAGAAAAGTACTAGATGAATGGGATGGAGGAATCACTATAGGAGGCAGAAAAAATCAGTAACCTGCGATACGCAGATGACACACTTATACTAGCAGCGAATGAAGTCGAAATGATTACCATCATCGAACGGCTAAGTCGAATAAGTGAAGAATTCGGACTTCAAATCAACACCAGAAAAACAAAAATAATGATTGTAGACAGAGCAAATAATAATCTACCGCATATACGTCAAATAGGGATTTTCGAAGTAGTCGACAGATTTGTATACTTGGGCTCTCTGATAACCAACAATGGTGATTGTTCCTCAGAAATCAAACGTAGACTAGGAATGGCCCGAACCGCAACTGCTAAATTAATTAAAATATGGAAAGACCGAACAATAACAAGGAATACTAAGCTTAGGTTGGTCAATGCCCTTATTTTTCCCATTGCTACATATGCAGCTGAAACATGGACTCTCAAAAAAATCGATAGGAGTAAGATCGAAGCCTTCGAAATGTGGGTATATAGAAGAATTCTACGCGTGTCCTGGACAGAACATAGAACCAACCTGTCAATTCTGGAAGAGCTTCATATAAAAGACAGGCTACTAAAAAAAGTAAACCAAGCCTACCTAACTTACTTCGGCCACATAGCTAGAAGAACGGGCACCATGGAACTATTGGTAGTAGAAGGTAAGGTAGAAGGCCGAAGACCAAGAGGAAGATCTCCAATACGATGGATGGACCAAATGAAGAGTTTGGTGGGAAAATCCCTACATGAAGCCGTCCATATGGCACAAGATCGCAGTCAATGGAGACAGCAGACCAATAATATTTAGGGTGTCACTACGCCCTGACAAGGGCTAAAGGATTGAGGAGGAGGATGTCCAGCAGTGGACGTGGTAAATGAATGTTTAGTGATGAGCCAGGCACACTTCATCATCATCATCCAGCCGGTTATGTAGTTACCGGTTATGTAAGTGGCTATTAACCAGAAAACCCTTACACTAGACTTTAGCGAGAAGGTTAAACAAATTTTACTTTTTCTCTTTGGAAAGATCACCTCTCGAGACTCCCAGAAAATGGTGACCATCACCTTTCATCATTGTCCTATCACCTGCTGATAGGACAATCTTTACCTTCGTCGGGTGCTGGCCACTGTTTCGACTGTTCTTTAGTCTCTGCTGTGTGCCAGTGAATGGTGGATCCATTTTTGTCGAAAGTTACGAAACGACGTAGAAACTACTTCAGGTTATGCTTAAGTAGCGTCAAACACTGCTCTGAAGTGGTTTCACGATTGCGCTTGTTGTCCGGAGTGAGCAAAGGCGGCACCCATCGCGCCGACAGCGTTCTTATGCCCAAAATGTCATGCAAGATATGACGTACGTGGTCGTTTGAGATGCCTACTCTCTCAGCTATCTCGCGCACTTTCAGTCGGCTGCCTGCCAATACGGGATCGTAGGCTTTTGTCACGTTTTAAAAAACAAGAATTGAATCGATTCGGCTGAAATTTTGACATTAGCCCTCTAAAAGAATGTATTAGACGATAGTAGATTTCTCTTCAGACAGTGGCGCCACCGGGCGGTGAGGCTAAGTACTTATCGGACCGCCTACATATACTACCCCGCAAAATTAACTGGACACTAAATATATTTAAAGTAACATTCAAAATTAAAAAAAAAAACAAATTCCAATAATGTGTTCTAATTTTTGTTTAATAACAAACTTTAAAATAATTGGGCCAATTTAAAAATCCCATATCCTAAAATTTCATAAACTAATTATGTAAGTTTCTCTAAAACATTTAATTAGAATTCCCAAAGAATCCCAGGAGGGGGGTTAAAACCGCCCCCCCCCCCCAACAGGGCAAATCAAACAAGTGGAAAAGTTAAAAATATTTAGGTGCACTCATTGCTAAAAACGGCTTGGAAGAAACCGAAATTAAACATCGAATTAATCAGGGACGTAAAATTGTAGGATGTCTGAACTCGTTATGGTGGGATCGCAACATTTCCATAAGGAACAAAAAAAGAATAGGGCAAACTATGGTTGAATCAGTTCTTTTTTATGGCTCTGAGTATGGACAATTAATGCACACCTAAAGGGAGGATTGTTGGCAGTTGAAATGGATTATTTGAGAAGTGCTAGAACATAAAGGCAGAAGAGGAAGACCATTGAATCTATAAGAAATAACATGAATGCTACAGAAACGGTCATTGACAGAATAGAAAGAATAGGTTCAAAATGGTTTGGATACCTATTTGGATGCCCAACGGTCTCCTACCTTTATTCATACCTACATGCTAAAGCATACCATCACACTCTATGGTCTATGAACATACCTTCAGGATGTTATTCTATACCAGTTACCTACAGGAACTGTCTAGTTTGTAATACTAGGTTTTTACTTAGATTGTCATTTCATCACCTTGGTAAATTCATCGCATTTTTTTAACAGTGAAAATGATGAAGAGATATGAGTAATTAATGGGCATGAACTTTTGCTTTAAAATCAAAAAAATATGCAGACATTTTTTTCATGATACGAAAGTTCTTTGAAGACAAATTTAAATATAATATCTTCCAGCTGAAGTCAAAATTAATTACTAAATTTGTAAGACAGTTGGAACTAGATTCAGTGAGCACGGTGTAATATTTGAAGGATTAGTACTGGCCAATGGTGCCACTGTTGTTCAGATCCAATAAGTGACTTCTGCAAAGATATGAAAAACAACTTTACATAAAGACATTCAAAACTTATCGTTATTAAAGTATTTTTATTTGTCTAGCTGGGAAAAATCAGCGAATTTTAACCTAAAACCACATGAAGTCCAACAAGTGCAAAGAAAAAAATGTAGTTTAGTTTATGAAATTAAATATAGGCAAATAAAATTGGTCAAGTTACTTTATTTGTCTAGTAAAAAAAATATTCTTCTACACTAAAATTTGTCTAGTACAAAAATTATTCTTCTACACTAAACCTCATACAACAAATTTGAATCATCTGGCATGCTGATGTGCAAATTGATCTATTACTTTTCCAGTATGTCTCAGTGAATACAAAGGATGCAAAGACCCATGAGTCAGGTTTCCCCCATCCTTGCCCTAAGCCAGGTCTTCACTCTTTTTAATGCAGAGAAGGACCTCTCTGCTGTAGCCACACTGACTAAAAAATAATAAAATGTAAATTGAACATCTGTAATATTTTTCTGGGGCACCTGGATGATTGGCTCTCTTAGTCTGTCTACCCACAAATCTAAGTAGCTTCACTCCAATGTGCAAATAGCCTGTTAATTCTTTAACTTTGGTAAAGGTTAGCATCAAGAGATTTCATTTGTAGAAGTAGTGGCAATGTTAATTTTTGTATGTCAATGATGATGAAAGTGACCACATAAACTCTATTTCAATAAAGGCTTCTAAACTTCTTGATTTTCGTTACTAGGAATTGCAAGTATTTTCCCATTGATTCAACAAGATTAGTGTATTGTTGCTTAGTTTGAACTATTTTGGAATACTGTTTAGTTATTTGATGACCCTATTTTCAAAACAATATTTATATCTTGGGAAGAGTCCAGCATAAATTTTTGAGATATTGTGCTTACCATGTCCATACTACTATTGAAAATCATGACTATTCCCATATCAAACCACACTTATCTTTACCCTCACTCAAGAACTGTCTTGGTATGTAGGAGCTATATTTATATATAAGATCATACTTGGATATATTGATTGTCCAAACCTGTTAAGCCAGATTACTGTAATATTCCCCATCAAGCTTTATGTTACCATAATGTTTTCAATATTCCTTTCCACAGAACAATTTATGGCATTCAAACTCATTTGATAGATATATGGGGCTATTAAATGTTTTCAATTTTGATATTTTCAATATAACTTTAACTCAGTTAAAAAGATCTCTCGCTTTGTGATATGTATAATGATATTGTTGGAAGGGGGACAACATATGCAGATGCTCAGTCTGTAGCTTTCTCCAACAGAGTGTGATTCTGTTATGCACATATAGCTTTGATTACCTCACACTTTACCTCATTGAGCAACCTATATTACCCTCAAAACTAAATACATGTTTCTTGTAGCAAGTTGAATGTGTTTGAAACTTAAACCATTTGAACTACAAATATTTAAATTTATATATTTTTAAACTCTTGGGGCAACCATGGCCCCCTTTCTGGATGCGCCCTTGCTTCAACACATATGCTATACAAAATGATTATTATGCTAATAACTTTTGTACATTGGGTATTTTTGAAACAGATATCATATACTTATAAGATTAAAATGAAACTTACCATAGGCATCTTCATCTGGATCACCTGAATAATATTCAAGAACTGTTCGATACACAATATATCCCAAATGATTGTACATATTTATAGCTACTTTGTTACTAACTCTAACAAAAAGATCAACAAAATATGCCCTCTTCCTAAAATAAAGAACCAAAATTCAACTTAATGTACATCATATTATTCCAAAGAATCTTGTTAGTGTACTTACTTTTCTGAAACATCTTCCAAAAAATTCATCAAACAGGCTGCTAATCCTAAACGTCGGAAGTCAGGAGATACAGTTAAGGCTGTAACATGTCCATGCCAGTTCTCTCCTATACCTTCGGCTTTTCCCATTACTAAAAAAATGCCAATTCCTTATGTTTTAAGGACAAACGAGAATTGCTTCTAGATTACTTACTGTAGCCCATTATCTCCCCACTTGGTGATTCTGCTACTTGGAAATACTCGGGCCAATGAGCCAAATACTGCATGTAAAACGATAATCCATAAGTCTCAGTTAAGGGGTCTAAATTACTGAAAATAGGATTTTGTAAAATAAATTTAATTTTGGTATGTTTATGACTTACACATTATTAAATTTGTACATGTCGTTACACGTAAATGGTCTTAAGGTAGTCATTGTTATGAATTATGGAATGGAGGTTTTTTTAATATATATAATTATTAAAATTTTTGTTGTAAATTAAACATAACCTTCTTTTTTAACCAAGATTCTCTTCCTCTTTTTCTGTGACAACTCTGTAGTTTGTAGTCTGTAAAGGCGGCTACACGGCTACACTACAGACACAACTGCAAGCTTGTCGAACACCATTTATCGACTCTCCCAACAACGAAAAACTGTCGTTGTCGTAACTCATTTTTTTTCAATTTTGAGTTATTACCATAATCAGATTTCATGATACCGAAATTTATTCCAGAGAATACTATAATAACTCAACTCGTAATATAGACAACACAATATACATTAGTGCAAATGTATCTCAATGCTCTCTGTACTTTACCGCGAAGAAAGTAGTATATTATGGAGTTACTATAGTGTTCGCTGTAAATTTGTGAGAAGAGACCGAGATCCGGCTATACGTTTCAAGCGAATAAAATTATAAATTATGCTAAATGTCGTTTCACATTGGATGAAGTACTAAAGAGAGCCTTGTTTAATGTTATAAGAATTTATAATAATATCGCAGATAACTAAATTTGGGATTACTGGTTAATAATAATACACAAATACCATCAGGTAAGTTGCCGTCATTATTGAATATCTGTTTAAAATATAATGTTTTTGTTAATGTTAATAATGCTATGGACAATAAAGAAGTTAGAAAACTTCTAAAGTTTCATAGACAACGAACATAAAAGTAACGGCAACAATTATACCGTTGACATTGATGCCAACATATTTCCTTCTAATTATTCCGATGATGATCCAAACTATGTTCCCTCAGGATCAGAAGCCGAAAACGAAAATTTGAATCTATCTGATAACAAGAGAAGTAATGTGTCATTGGACAGACTATCATCAAAAAGAAAGCGAAAAGTAACAGAAAAGATTAAGATAGGAAGAAAACGAGTTATAAATAAGAACAAATGGATCGACAAAAAAGTCAAAAGAGAACTTAATAGCTGTCTGGAACATAAGAAGGTTCCTTGTAAAGATATTTGCAGATATAAGTGTAATAGCATATTAAATTTTGAAACAAGACAAGTAATTTTTGATGAATTTTGGAAACTTGGAGATCATACCAGGCAGTGGGATTTTCTTGCAAGGTGCGTGACTTTTCTTTCGCGAAAATTTAAATTTAATATTGGTAATACCGAGAAACAAATTAGCAAGACAATGTTCTTGAATACGCTTGAGATTTCTGAAACTTTTGTTAGCACTGCATTGAAAAAAATTAGTGAAGCTGGTACCATAGAAACAGATAAGAGAGGAAAACAATACTAGACCGCACAGATTCTACTTGTACCTTCCCATTATACAAGGAAAAACTTAAAACGCATGCACTTAGAAGAGGGCTTCAACATATCTCTAATGCATCGAATGTACGTGGAATATGCCAAACTCAAAAAATGGGATGCGTCGCTACAATTAGGCAATACAGGGATACTTTAATCTCATAATTCAATATTGCGTTTTTCAAGCCTAAGGAAGATCAGTGTTCAGTATGCAGTGCGTATAACAATACAGATCCAGAAAAAAGAACTCAATTAATGGAAGAAAATTATACTAGCAATGTTTTAAACAAAGAATCTGTTATAAATCTGAAAGATGCTAATTAGGAATTGTCAAAAAGTGATAAATCGTTTTTAACAATATGCTTCGATTTGCAGAAAGTATTAGTAACGCCCAAGTCAGAGGTAAGTAACTTTTATTATAAGAGTAAGCTTGCAACTTCTAATTTTACTATTTACGACTTGGCAATAATCAAAGATATTGCTACGTATGGCATGAAAAAATATCAAAAAGGGGGCCGAATAAAATTGCAAGCTGTCTATGGCATTTTTTAAAAGATGCAAAACAAGATGGCATTCGGAAAGTCGTGTTATACTCGACAATTGCGGAGGGAAAAAAAACGAAAACGTTTTATGTTTTTGATGTTTGCTCATGCATCGGTGACTTTGGATCTGGAAATATCACACCGTTTTTTTGAGATTGGTCATACCCAGAACGAAAATGACAGAACCGTATGAAATTTATATTTGTTTACAATAATTCTAATTGCACAAATAATTACTGAGTGAAAAATGAAAAACGTAGTGGTAATAATTAAAAAATTACAGAACGTCACTTTTCACAATTATTTTTAAACGCAATTACCTCGGAATGAGCGATCTTGAGTTACGACAGTTTTCGTTGGGAGGGTCGATGTATAAGTAAAGAGCACCAGCTGTCCAGCACCAGCATACTTGTTCAATCTTTTCGTACAAGAGTACAAGCAAAGCACAAGCAGGTACGACGCAGGTACAAGTACGCATAATTTGCATTTGGCACCAGGCACCCCACATGCAGGCATGTTTGATAAAAGAGAGGTATAAGTGTATTATAGGTAGTATAATAAAAATAATAAAATACAGTCAGTGGCCCACAGCTTAAATCATGCAGTCGCTACTCAACTGTACTCAATAAAACTAGCTTGTGTCAGCGGAGCGGATTAATATTTATTAGAAAAAAATTATAAACTAAAATTAAATTACTATACGTCTTCTAAAATATACATGTGTCACATGTCACCATAACATTTCCATTAATACCATTCTCTCTCCTGTTGCCTTCTCCTGTTCTCTCTTCGAAGCTACAAGAATGTAGCTTCGACTAATTTTATATAATTTTAAAATGTTTGTCCTTGTGTAGTGTAGTGCTATGTACAATTTTATGTTTAATTTCATGTTTATTACATTCTGCGCTTGTTGGATAGCCCAACATTGACGAAATGCCCCTGATGATGCTTTAGAAAGCGAAAGTACTTGGGCAAGATTTGATTAATAAAATTGTGCTCGATATCTGCCTTTAATTTTATCAAAGTTCATTTATTCGAGCATTCAACCTTATATCAAAATACATATAAAATCTACTGTATTAGATATAATGTAGTTATAATATTTTTTCTCCAGGTTGGAAACTGAAAACGATCGGATAATAACGGATTATTATAGCAAAGGATTTCGAAAAAATATGGAATTTTCCTCGTTGTCTTGGCAACATAGATATAAAACATATCGATATAATTCCTCCAGCCAACAGTGGATCTTTTTTTTTTAATTACAAACACAGACATATACTTCATCTAATTTAGTACGTCAGAGATCGAAGTTAACATAGTTGCCAAAGTATAAAAAAATCCTGACTCCATTTTAAATCAAATAGATCACATAATTATTGCAAAAGTATTACCCTCTTTTTACAACGACTATTTAAATTCTTACGTGACATTTTTGAAATAAAACACAATAATTTTGTTCTAAAAAGAACAGATTTTATTAAATAGCTATAAATATAAAAAAAAGAGATATTCACTTTAAAATTCAAAATAATAATGTACAAAAAGTGTCAATAGCGCAACTGTCAAATAAGTGTTACCAATTTATGCCAAAGTTTCACCTTCGTTCGATTACAGTTACAGTGTGTTCCGAACAAATGTTCTTGATAAAAATGCTTTATATTGCATTTATACAAATTAAATGAAACATATTATTGTGTATTTCTTTAAGTTAATATTAATAAAAATTTTTAAATATTATTTCTACACGTATATAATAAAATATGTCTAGTGGCTGTAATGCCAGTGTACTCGGTAAAGTGATTCTAAAAAAGAACACACCTATACCTTAATATTTCGGGTTGGTATCATGTGACGTCACAGGCTATGACGCCGATGACGTGCATCGTTATATAAATTAGATGAAGTGTAGTTTAGTTCTACTTGCCGCATAGCAGATGTAAATTATAAATTTATTTAATTTGATTTCGATACAAATGACAGATTATCAAATGGGGGTGTCGTTTAGAATACAGACTTTTTTAGAAGACTTCAGGGGAACTTATTAAACATTCCTGAGGAAAAAAAAGTTGCAAATGAGTCACGAAAGCTACCGTTTGTTTTTGTTTTTTTCGCAGATGATGCTTTTCCTTTGAGGCCTGATATGCCGAAACCATACAGACAGAGTGATTTAACTTGTATTGAAAAAAATTACAACTACGGATTATCGAGAGCACGGAGAATTGTGAACGTAACGTCTTTGGGATTATGGCAGCATGCTTTAGACTTTTCACACCTCTACAATTTAGAGTTATGTTAAATTGAGAAAATATTAAAAGCAACTTGTGCTTTACACAAATTAATGTCAACAGTAATCCAAACTCATGCTCCACCTGACTCTTTTCACCATCGAGTTAGAATCTATGGAGAGGGCATCACGTGACTAAAAACGACCTCACTTCGGCCATATTGTTAATACTATTGTTAATATTATTTTGACACTTTTGACAGATCGTATAAGGTTATTTACGTTTGTTGTTTTTCGAATATTTTAAGTTTTATAATACTTTTATAGAAACTGTAATAATATATTGTGATAGTGCATAATAATAGTTTCTTGTTCTCAACGTAGTTGCAGTAGCAGAAGCAATGCTAATAAAAAATCTTCAGGAATAACGTTGTACAGGTTACTATACAAATATGTAAACAAAGTAATGACCCGTACTTCAGAGAATAAATTAATAGTATTTCACTGTATCAATTATTTATCGTTATGTATAATATATCGTGTGTTTAGTGTTTACAGCGGGATAAATAAATCATAGTTTATTAAAAATGTATTGCACTTTTTTAGATTATGATTAAATCTTCTAAATAACTAGCCATATTTTTATAGTAGTTTTAATATTATTGAGTCCGGCCATGATCCCTCCGCCATATTGGTATTATCGTTAGCCACACCTACCTACGCCGTTCTTAATACACACGTTAATATGCTCATAGCTTCTCCATAGATTCTAACTCGATGCTTTTCACTTAGAGGACATAGAAAAGTGATATGATTCGCGATGGCTTGACCTCTGAAAGTTCTACATTTCTTTACAAAGGTTTCATCATAGATAAATAATATGGTCTCATATGACAGGAAATACGTTATTTAATGCTAACCAAGTTTGAGAAGAATTACTGCTACTGTGCCAAGGAGCAGTACCTTGGCACAGAATAATAAACAATCAGAATGTC